TAATTTATTCAGTTTATTATCATGCAATCAAACAAAATCAAAGTTTTCTTTACTCACGTATGATCCTGCACTTAGAAAATCACTTTAATCACTTTAGTAATAATTTTAACTTGTTAATTATCAGTTTTTACTATTAATATTTCAGAGCTATTTGTAAAACCAGTTGCTGGACTGCGCATGGAAAGGCAAATCTGAACATTAGGCTATCAGACAAGAAAAGAAATACTTGGATTCGCAACAAAACAAAAAAGTTTTAAATCGCTAATGAAGCTTAACTCAATATATACATACATAATGTCTTAGAAAGATATTTCTTCTTTTTCTATTTTTCTTGGAGCAGCTTTTATATTCTTCTTCTAGTTCCATGACCACTATCGATCGTTGGATATGGACCACGTTTCCTTAGATCTTTCTTATCTTTTCTCATCAATGGCGCTACAACTCTCGTGAGTCTTTGCCGCATGGAAAAGGCAAATGATGAACATCAGGTAATTAGACAAGAAAAGAAATACATTGGATCCGCAACAAAACAAAAGTGACCGATGCAACAACGCAGATAGCAAAACTTAAGTGGAAGTTCGCTGGACATACCATAAGACAGAAAGACCACAGATGGAATAAGATGATTATACACTGGAGACCATATAGTTACAAACAAAAAAGAGGAAGGCCGCAAATGAGATGGTCAGATGACTTGAAGAAACACGCAGACCCAAAGTGGATACAAACTGCCTACAATAGAGAGACGTGGAAGAAGAAAGAGGAGGCCTATGTCCAAAGTTGGACAGCAAGGGTTGTATAGATAGATAGATAGACTACAGTTGAAAATATAAGATTTGAAGATGGCATTGTCAGTATTTATAAGATTTTTATTTGAAGATTATCTGCTATCAATTAACTTTCACACGAGGATCTGTATCCGACAAGTATTTTAGGTTAATTAAATTTAAATTCGCCAGTAACTGGTTACCAATAAGATAATGAAAAAGTTGTTTATATATGAAGATTTCATCCAATAACTCCTTGTCACTTTCCTTTCCTGTTCCTCTTCGTCCTTATTTAATGGAAACCCGCGGCGTGCTTTCACAAACTTAAAAAAATGCAAAGTGTTACATCGATCAGTGTTTCAATTTCCAAACGTTACCTGTCCCATATACGTAGATTCGTTCGGCGCCCAAATGGAATTTCAAATCAGTTACGTCAGCATCGGGGGAGCGTAAATTAGATGCAAAAAAAAAATGATTAATGATGCCAACTTAATACCCAACAAACAACAAAATACCCAACCTTCAATATATAAACACTATCTCTCGATACTCTCGCAAATAAAAATCAACTCGGTTTTATAATTAAAATTGTGAAAAATCCGATATCAATTCTAGATAGATATAATTATTATCGATCAAGAAATCCCTTAAAAAATAAAGTTCTGCAGATTGTTAGCAGGTAGAGCGTTTATTAATGTTTGCATTTTGAGAACGACATCTGAACGGAGTATTGAAACGTCAATAAACTTATTTTAACCTTCAACTGAGGCTTATTTCCATTTAAATAGTAATTACTTTAAAATGTCACAAGAAAATAGCTTCAATAGCAGTTTTTTATTGCAAGTTAATACCAACTGCTCTTTGTTATTTTTCCAAGTGGGTTGTTTATCAAACCACAGCCCTAAGATTTTCACGATTTGAACAATAGTAAAGAATTTAAGATTGGGATTGTTTATAAGATTCATTTTAGAAATCATCGTGCCTACTGATTTTGAAACTGAGAATGAAAAAATGGTATCACAAGACTTGTTAGAGTTTGTGTGGAAAGTTTTTGATTTTGCACAACTATAACTTTTTTAAGATGTCTTATATCCAACATATATCTTAAGCTTACCTAAATCAAAAAATCTTGCGATACATAATTGTTTTGTTACTAAAAGTATTTGTAATATCACTTTCTAAGTCTAATATGTTGTATGTGACAAATCAGTTTTGTTGTAAGCTGTCTTGCTCATTTATAAGTAAATTTAAATTTTTTCGATGCAAAATCAGCCTTGAGGTGATAATTTTTTCTAGTAACTTGCCCATTGCAAATACAGACCAACAATAGGAACTTGATGGAAGTGAGAATTGGCAAGAAGATGACATAGGGACGTGTGAGGAACTAGGAAACTTTGAATGAAGTCAAAGTAAAAATTATTAGGAAAAGATTAATAAAATATGATAACAAAGTGATTGGAAAACACCAGGGGGGTTTTAAATTAGGAAGAACAACTACTTATCAAATAAGTATGTTAAAAGTAATAAAAAAAATAACAATAGTTACAAACAAAACTTAGGATTACATATGCTATTTATCGATTTTAATGCTATATAAGTACATGAAAACATTAGAATTATAAGAAAAGCTTGTAAGGCTAGTGAGAATGACGCTTAGGAATACGATAAATAGGGTAACAATAGAAGGAAGCTTTTAAGACAGTTCGCAGTAAATAGAGGTTTAAAACAAGGAAATCCGCTATCAATGAAATTATTCAACCTAGTATTAGAACAAATCGTAACAAGATCAAATATATGCAAAAACAGGACTATTTTCAATAGCAGGAAACGGTGCATAGCGTACACGGATGATGTGGTGATACTTCTTCTTCTTCGTGTGCCATATCAGAATTATCCGACTTTAGCGATCACCATTGCGAAGGCTTCTCGATCTTGGTGGTGATACCAGCGAGAACAAAACCTTTACAAAAGTTTTTCCAGAAATTTGAAGAAGAAGCGAAAATATGCGGATTAATAATAAACCAAACAAAAACGCAATATATGGAAATGAGAGAAGATATAACAAAATAATAACAAATATATTAAAAATTAATGGAGCAGAGACTCTCTATAGTTTTAAAAAAGTATCAGAATTTGTATACTTAGGAGTAACCATAAGGAACACGAAAAAAGTAGAAAACGTAATAGACCAAAGATTAATGAAGGAAAGCAGAGCAATAGAGTCACTAAATGCATTCATCATCATCATCATTCAGCCAATCGCTTCCACTGCTGGACATAGGCCTCCCTCAGTTCTTTCCAGTGTTCTCTACACTGGTCGCTTGTAGCCAATGCATTAATGAAAGCAAAAAATGTGTCAAGAATAGCTAAACTGAGAGTCTACGACACAGTAAACAGACCCACACTGATGTATGCTAGTGAAACGTGGAGAATAAACCAGCAGGAAAAAAAGAAAGTAGATATGTGAGAAAGAAAAGTTCTCAGAAAAATCTTCAACGAAATAAAAACGGCAAAGAATATTTGGAGGAGACTAACGAATAAAGAAGTAATAGGGATGTATGGAAAACCAGCAATTACAGCAAAAATACTAGCCTAAAGAGCTAGATAGCTTGGTCACATTATACGAATGCAAGAGAATCGAAATGTTAAAAAAATACTAAAGAAGGAAAAAATTGGAAAAAAAATAAGAGGATGTCCAAACAAGAAATGGTTCGAAGCAGTAAAGCAAGACTTGTCAGAAAAAGGCGTGAGAAACTGAAAAGACAAAGCAAGGGATCGAGAAAAAAAATGGAGGAAAATAACCAAGTTTTTAGAAGCCAGGTCAAGGCCTCTAGCGCTGCGATATATGTATATAACTTGCCCTTAGGCTAATTGGTCTATAGGAATCAGGGTTTAGACAAAATTTAGTGCCTTTTGAGAGAAATGGATGAGTGATGAATTTTGACAAAATAGAAGGGATATTGTTGTCATTGTAGGTGAAAATAAATAACTGAAGCAAACGAGGGAAGGTGTTCATGAACAATAGTTGGGAAATTGTATTGCCTAGGACTTATTTCTTTAATTTCCTAAGTAAGTTATTAAATTTTTGTAAAGTAAGACGAGCATTTAATGGAATGTTACAGTTTTCAAGAAAGAATTAAAAACTTTCCATCAATAGTTTGTTTTCCCGTAGAACTAAGTCTAAGTTTTCGTTGGAGGATCTTTGTCTGTAATTTTATCAGAGATATTGTTTGTCTATTTTGGGACAAGTTTTTTGTAGGTTATCCTTAGTGAGAGCGCCCACCAAAGTGGCGTGCACGTAGCAAGTGGCAAGTAGCACGCGTCTAGCATGTTTCTTAAAATGTAACCAATGAAAACGAATGATCAGCGCACACCAAAATGACAGTGACGTCATTCATTCTAATCATTCGTTTTTATTGGATACATTTTAATAAACATGCTAGACGCGTGCTACTTGCTACGTGCTACTTGCCACGCCAGTTGGTGGCGCTCTCCTAATATGCCGGAAAATTTTTCGTACATATATTTTCAAGATACAATATTTTATATCGTACAAGACATATTTTAATATTAAATATATTTTTGGCCTAACTGGATTTTTTCTTTGATTAATTTTTTTATTGATTTTTGATTTTAATTTTGTTTTCTTCCAAGGTTTTATGCTTTTTATATCTATTAAAATAGCTTTAACTAGCACGTACGGCTTATTAGCACTCCCAATTTTATATGGAATGTTAAAGTTTCCAAGAAAGAATTTAAAACTTTCCATCAATAAATTGTTTTCCCGGAGAACTGAGTTCAATTTATTGTTGGAGGATATTTGTCTGTAATTTTTAGCTCCTCTCAAGCAGAGATATTTGTTTGCCTATTTTAACACTAGTTATTGAGGGTATTTTTTGTATATTCCTACAAGACACAGTATATTGTTAGATATATTTTTGGCCTAATTGAATTTTTTTGCTTGAATAATGTTTTTATTGATTTTTGTACTTAATTTTGATTTCTTCCAAGGTTTTATGCTTTTTATATTTATTAAAATCGCTTTTATTAGCACGTACAACTCCCAATTTTAAGGCGCAGGAGTATGAAGTTTCTCACTCTTCAAGAATTGATTTTAAGAATCATATGAACAAAGCTTTGAAAAATGTCGTGTTGAACAATAATTTCAATGAATCTTTAAGTGCTTTTAATGGTGTCATCGGATGATTATAGTGTTCTTAATATTTTACTTACCTACAAACATATACATATTTATTGATGCCGGAAAATCCAAAATTGCTTTTAGATAGGGTAAATAACTCTCCGCTGACGTAGTATGATGGTATTCACCCCAGTGGTCGAACCATCCTGAAAAAAATTATAAAACAAGTTATTTTAATGTTAAGCTTTTCATGAATGTGTGCCATTTCATTTCTTCGATGGTTTCTCGGAATAATAGCATAGAAATGAAAAAACAAGTATCTTTTAATGATTTAACTTTCAGATTGGATGAATCTATACAAAATACAACAAGCTTTAACAACAATATAAGCCAATTAAATCAAGACTTATTTGTCTTCACTTTATTTGTTTGTCTTATTAATATTTTCGAATTATATTGTTTTGTAACTGTAAATACCTGTATATGTCTCCATAACCATATTCGGTTTGTTGGGCTGTCGACTGTGCATAGTTTTTATCCCATTTATAATTTGTGACATACTTCCAACGTTAGCAGTCTGCAACACTCCCGGTATAATTCCATGTGTATATTCTGGAGCATCAGCTGTGTATAGCAGCTCGACTATACCGTTGTCAATAAATAACTTTTTGAGTGTATTGAGGTATGCTGGATCGTCTATGGAGAGACTTGCGAACTCGTTTTCGATTTGGAAACCGACTATCGATCCCCCTTTTTGGAACTGAAACAGCGCCAATATGGGTAGTAACATGTTAAACCACCTAAAATTAAACAAAGTTCGTGCCACTTTATTTTTAATTATACAAGTGTAATTTAATCAATTGGAATAAAAAAGAATACATGGTTAGAAGTGATTTAATTAAATCACGAGGATTTTGATAATAAAACATGTCAAAAGTTTAGTCGGTGTACTCTATCTAAACTGAGTCTGTTAGAAACGCACAACTCAAATTTTGCAAGAAAAATGACACCAAAGTGCAAAGATTAGCAAAGATACAAGGGCTCTCATGGAATTACGACGAAACCTAAGCGAGAACGAAAAGGGAAACAAGAAGAAATATAAAAAAACTAAATAAAAGAATTTCAGCGGAAATTAGAAAAGATGTAAGAAGATATAATACTAGTGTAATTACTCAAACAGTAGAAGAGAACAAAGGTTTAAAAATAATGAAAAGAAAACTTACGCAAAGTAAAAAAGAAATATAACAAGCTGAGAGATAAAGACGGAAAGGCAACAACAGATAAACAAAACAATTCTGAAAATAACTAGAGAATTTTATAAAGACCTCTATACCAGCCAAAGACCACAAGACAATTTCCCGACACGAGTAAAGACTCTCATAAATCAGGGATCGGAAATACTTTTACCCATTACTGTGTCAGAAGTAAGAGCAGCTTTAAAGGAAATGAAGAACCATCGATCGCCTGGTGATGATGGACTCGTTATCGAGGCAATAAAAGCAGGTGGAGAAATTTTATTAAAATCAGTAAGCGAACTGTTTACTAAATGCTTACATGCGGGTACGATTCCAAAAGACTGGAACAATGCAGTAATAGTCTTGTTACACAAAAAAGGCGATATTACTAAATTAGAAAATAATAGACCCATCAGCCTCTTGACACATATGTACAAACTCTTTATGAAAATCTTAACAAAGAGGCTAACACCTAAACTTGATTTCTATCAGCCCAAAGAACAGGCAGGCTTTAGGCCAGGATATGGCACAAAATGACCATTTGCATACCATAAAGATCTTAATAGAAAAGTGCATCGAGTAAAACATACCACTGGTTCTTGCATTTGTCGATTACGAGAAGGCTTTTGATTCTGTAGATTTTGAAACAATACTGGAAGCCCTAAATCAAAGCCGAATAGATTACAGGTACACGACACTAATCAAAAACATCTATTAGAACGCTACATCAAGTATACGACTGCACACGAAGACACAGAAAAATTCAGCTTAGGTCGAGGAGTTACACAAGGAGACAATATTTCACCAAAATTGTTCACGGCAGCTCTAGAGTCAATATTTAAGGGTACTCAATGGCAAGATATGGGCATCAATATAGATGGAGAAAGATTAAATCACCTAAGGTTTGCAGATGATGTTGTATTAATCGCAGATAACTTACATGATACAGTTTCTATGATGCATTCGCTTAAAAGTCTGTCTGAAAGAGCAGGATTAAAGATAAACTTTGAGAAAACTAAAATTATAACAAATCTCGTAATGAGTGGAAATGTAACTATTGACAATAATACCATACAACAAACAGACACTTACAAATATCTGGGACACGAAATCAAAATAAGCAGAGACAATCAAACACATGAAATACAGAGGCGAATAGGTTTAACATGGGCAGCATTTGGCAAATTAAGCCATATTCTAAAAAGTTCAATTCCCATGTGTCTCAAGCGAAAGGTTTATAACCAATGTGTTTTACCTGTACAAACTTATGGAGCAGAGACTTTAACACTCACGCAAAAATCTGCGAATAAACTTAGAGTTACACAACGAGCCATGGAACGTGCAATGCTGAACGTGAGCCTTCGAGACCACATAACAAACCAACAAATCAGGCGAAGATCAGGAGTTCAAGACGTCATCGAAAGAACCACGACGCTTAAGTGGAACTGGGCAGGGCACTTAGCCAGAACACAAGATGGACGGTGGACAAGAGGTATTATGGAATGGAGGCCCAGAAATTATAAAAGAAGCCGAGGACGACCACCGACTAGATGGACCGATGACATTAAACGTGTAGCGGGAAACTGGCTACAAGCGGCCCAGTGTAGAGAACACTGGAAAGAACTGAGGGAGGCATATGTCCAGCAGTGGACGCGATTGGCTGATTGATGATGATGACTCTATCTAAAAAGTAAAATAAAGTGGAAAAGAAAGAAACGTTGTGCTTTATACTGTCTTCTCAAAGGGAAGACAATAATCTAAAGGCACAACAATCTCTATTCTATGTGAAAATATTGATAGGAACCCAGAAGACCGGCGAAACTTAACATGTGACGCTGGTATGGGATCCGGATAAGGGGAATATACGGCATTGAATGAAGTGATGTACTTGCCAGAAGAGCATCAAGTAAAAAACACTCTCATTTAGAGGCGACCATGGGAGTACCAAAAACGCAACCGGAAACAAGCATGGATGCGATTGCTTGTTCGAACATAACTCTCACTGGGACAATATATCCAATTAAACACATGGTGAAAATGTTTTTTTTTTGTATTACACCTCTACGGTCGGTTGTGTACTGCTATTTGGTCACAAATGACCAACTATCACTTATTTTCTGACCTAACTTAATAAAGGGCAAGTAGTGCTTAAGTCTAAGGACTCACTTCTTCTTCTTCTAGTTCCATGACCGTTATAGATCGTTGGATATCATGTTGACTACCATATTCGCTATCGTGACTTTATTGACAGCAGCTCTAAATAACGATGTAGTTGATTTTCCATACCATTGCCTTAGATTTTTCAGCCATGATGTTCTTCTTCTACCAGGACCACGATTACCTTGGATCTTTCCCTGAATGATCAGATGTAAAAGATCATATTTTTCAGGGTGTCTCATAATATGACCGAAGTATTCCAGCTTGCGTTTCTTTATTATATTGACCAGTTGTGTTGTTTGGTTCAGCCGTCTAAGGACTCACACTAATGCTTATTCTTATTTTATCTATCAACTAATGCACTATAACTAACATGCAATAATATCACAGTACTATACCCTGATTTTTACACTAAACCATTACACAATTATACTAACTAAAATAGTTTTGTCCTTATGAGTCTTCTCTTTAGTTCAGTATTGTCAAGAAGATGGATTGTCTCGACATTCACATGACTATGTAGCCTCTGCTCGTGACTTGCTACTGTTCTCTTGATTACTGTAGTCACAGTTTTCACATCCAGGTCCTGGTGGAGATTGCTGTTACAGATATAACAAGGAGCAACAACAATGTTCCTCAGCACTTTGTTTTGAAATGTCTGGATAATATGTAGATTACTAGCTTTGGTACAGCCCCAGAGTTGGCACGCATATACCCATACTAGCCTCAGTACTTCCTTGTAAATGAATAATTTATTATGAGTGAATAATGGTGAATTTTGTTCAATCAGCCAATACAATTTCTTATATCTAATATCAAGCTCCCCTCTTTTCTTTTTGACATGGACTCTCCAGCTCAGTCTCGCGTCTAAGGTGATGTCCAAGTATTTTGCTAATGTTGCATAAGAAACTTGGACATCACTTATTGTAACTGGGAAATTTTCAATTTTTTATTTGTAAAGTTAATATGTGAAAATTTAATCTCCTTAAATTTTATTCACCATTTTCTGGTCCAGGTATGAATTTTATTTACTCATAGTTGCAGCAACTTATCAGTCGCTTCTTCACCAGTGTCTCCTATCGCTAGTATGGCTGTATCATCGGCGAAGGTGGAAATAGTGTTTTGTTATAGCTCTGGAATGTCACACGTATATAATAGGTATAGGACCGGACCTAATACACTCCCTTGTGGCACGCCAACTTTGATCTCCCTTAAGTCGGTGTAAACTTCTTCTTGTTTTACTCGGAAATATCTATTTGTAAGGTATGATTCTAAGATTTCTGAATACTGTTTAGGCATGAACATTCTTAGTTTATAGTTTAAACACTATGCCAGACTTTACCAAACGCCAGAACTACGTCCAAGAAGATTGTAGAGCAGACTTTCTGTTCTTCTAATGTTTTTTTCTACTGGATTAGTTATTCTATGAACTTGATAATAGTTTTGACATCACCGAAAGGAGTGATATTGGTCGATGGAATGTCACTTCATTAGGAAGTTTACCTAGTTTGGCGATCATATTGACTTCGGCTACTTTCCAGAGTCTGGGAACATATCCCTATCTAAAACCAGCATTTATTAAATATGTCAGCTTAACTATGGCTTTTCTTGGTAAATTTTTTATTAGTTCTCCTGTTATGAGATCATATCCTGGAGATTTCTTAGGATTTATATTCTCTTTTATCTTTGTTAATACTTCTCTAAACGATCAACTCTAAAAGTCAACGTTATTGTTTCTTTGGTTTGGAATTCTCTAGCCCAGTTGCCGTTTTTCAACTTGATAGAAGGAGAATGAATAATTGGTCTTGTCATTTTCATTCCTTTTGTTGCCTTCCAACGAATAAACTGTGTTCTGGTCAGCTGTTAAATTACTTCAAACAGAATTAATGGCAAAAATTTGCTAACGGATATTTGCTAATAGAATTAGCTCCGAGTTAGCAGAAATAAGCAGGCATATTTTTTGGACATGTAAAAGTCAAGGGCTGTTAATTTTAGACTTTATATCAGAGAACCTTGCAAACCATATATTACAATGACTGAGAGGCATTAGAACGTACATAGATATAATTTTAGGATAGTATTGGGTGACTTCATAAGAATATGGCCTATCTACTAGATCTCTACAAGCCTGTACAGTATTCCAGATTTCTAAAATAAGTATCAACACTGAATGGAAAAATGAAATACACCAATTGGTTACCAAGTAAATATCTGTTAGATAGTACAATATTTATCTGGAGGTGAAAAGAACGATCTTTTCATGCAAAAAATTTATTGTCTTAAAAATTTAATTTTGAACTCTTCTGAAAATTTTTTTATCCTTAAATATGGGCGGCGAATTTATGGGCTGTAATAAATTTCCAAACAAGAATTACGCTGGTTTTGGTAGGTAGATCGATTTTATAAGACGACTTTACATAAAAGTTTGCCGATTCTCCAAAACTGTCTTATTTGTTCGGATAGTGGCATGATAAGGCACTAAGGCAAAGAACGGTTAAGTGCTATGTTTGGTCCGTACTTTTGTATAGTGCAGAAGTGTGGACGCTAAAAGTATCGATCATGAACAAAATTGAAGCATTTGAAATGTGGGTTCATAGACGAATGCTGAAGATATCTTGGACAGCAAGGAAAACTAATAAAGAGGAGCGTCAACAAAGATAGAGAACTGCTAAAGACTGTTAAACATAGAAATATGTCATCTGGGATATATAGTAGGGGCAGTCAATATAGACTAGGACCTCTACCAGTATTCAACACGAAAGATATAAATGAAATAACACAAAAATTAACGAACGACATAACATCAACTGCAACAAAAAGATCTGTGATAAAAATAAAAATCCCAGAAAACGAAACTGAAACAAACAACACTAAATTTAATGGAAGAAAGAAGAACATCGAAAGAATTACCAGAGTATAAAGCTATCAACAATAAAGTTAAAAAGAGCATAAAGGTCAGACTTGCGGGCTTATAAAACAAAACAAATATTGCAAACCATCGAAAACAATAGAAACATGAGAGTATTGAAATCAAATTTAACTAAAGGAAAATCAAATATAACTAAAATCAAAAATCAACAGGGGAATACGGTGACCGAAAAAACTTAAATAATCAAGGAAATACAAACGTTCTATAAGAATCTTTATACATCTACTATACAGAGCCCTGAAACAGACCACAGAACAATTCTAAACCCTCCCTAAAATAACCTCTTCGGAAATTAGACATGCCTTACAGCAAATGAAAAACAAAAAAGCTCCCGGCGAGGATCGTATAACGTCTGAAATGTAAAAATGGGCGGCAACATCGTTGTAGAAGTTGTGGAAGTCTTACTGAATAAGTGTCTAACAGAAAAAAGAATACCCAGCCTATGGGAAAACGCCGAAATAATACTTTTACACAAGAAAGGAGACACTACTAATATTAAAAACTACAGACCTATAAGTTTGTTGTCACACTTATACAAATTGTTAACAAGAATAATAACCAACCGCATAACACAAAAACTTGATTTATATCAACCGGTTGAACAGGCGGGATTTAGAAAAGGGTTTGGCGCTAATGATCACTTACAAACCATCAGAACACTAGTAGAAAAAACCACAGAATATAATGTACCTTTACATATGGCATTTATCGACTTTCACAAGGCTTTCGATAGTATTGAGACTTGGTCCTTTTTGTCAGCCCTGAAGGATGCTCGAATAGACTCACGGTAAACTACACTCATTAAAAACATTTATGAACAGGCCACATTCCACATCAAAATCAATGAAGACGAAAAAACTGAAAAAATGCGCCTTGATAAAGGTATTAGACAAGGTGATACTATTTCACCAAAGCTTTTTACCTTAGCATTGGAAAATGTATTCAAACAGCTTGACTGGGAGGAAAAAGGTCTAAACATTGATGGTGTACGTTTGAGTCATTTGAGGTTTGCGGATGACATAGTATTATTTAGTACAGATATCAAGGAACTGGAGCAAATGTTGAAGGAATTAAACCATCAGTCAAATAAAATAGGTCTCAAAATGAACCTTTTGCGAGGAGTAGGTAGACCGCAGAAGAGGTGGACAGACGATATCAAACAAGTCGCGGGCAAGCAGTGGATGAGAATTGCCAAAAGTAGAAATCGATGGAAGCAAATGGAAGAGGCCTATGTCCAGCAGTGGACGAACACAGGCTGAAGAAGAAGAAGAAGAAGTCAATATAAAATATTTCAACTGATCCAAAGGGCGAAAGGCAAAATAGAGGGCCGTAGAGGTGTAGGAAGAAAACAAGTTTCTTGGTTAAAAAACATTCGTGAATGGACTTAGATGTCAAATGCAGGACAATTATTCCATATTACAGAAGATCGAGAAGCCTTCGTAATGGTGATCGCCAACGTCGGATAATTCTAATATGGCACGCGAAGAAGTGGCACAACAGACTAAAATATGATTTTGTTTATGTTCTAGTCTTAAATTGGAGGAAGTCAGAAAAAATGTAGTGGAGTGAATATAGATGACAATAAAGTATAATATATAGGGTGTTGTATTTAGAAAATCAAAGAAAATCATAAAAATTATCATTACAAACATCAAATTTCAAATCTTCATTTAACAAAATTCCTAATTTTTTATAATTCTGACAGTCATCTAAGAGGTAATTAAGCGTTTTCAGACTTTTGATCCAACCTGTAGAAACTAATGACAATATTTCAACACAATTTGGCACAATTATACAAAAAACAAAACATCTATCAGAACGCTACATCAAGTATACGACTGCACGAAGACACAGAAAAATTCAGCTTAGGTCGAGGAGTTAGACAAGGAGACAATATTTCACCAAAATTGTTCACGGCAGCTCTAGAGTCAATATTTAAGGGTACTCAATGGCAAGATATGGGCATCAATATAGATGGAGAAAGATTAAATCACCTAAGGTTTGCAGATGATGTTGTATTAATCGCAGATAACTTACATGATACAGTTACTATGATGCATTCGCTTAAAAGTCTGTCTGAAAGAGCAGGATTAAAGATAAACTTTGAGAAAACTAAAATTATAACAAATCTCGTAATGAGTGGAAAATATAACTATTGACAATAATACCATACAACAAACAGACACTTACAAATATCTGGGACACGAAATCAAAATAAGCAGAGACAATCAAACACATGAAATACAGAGGCGAATAGGTCTAACATGGGCAGCATTTGGCAAATTAAGCCATATTCTAAAAAGTTCAATTCCCATGTGTCTCAAGCGAAAGGTTTATAACCAATGTGTTTTACCTGTCCAAACTTATGGAGCAGAGACTCTAACACTTACGCAAAAATCTGCGAATAAACTTAGAGTTACACAACGAGCCATGGAACGTGCAATGCTGAACGTGAGCCTTCGAGACCACATAACAAACCAACAAATCAGACGAAGATCAGGAGTTCAAGACGTCATCGAAAGAACCACGACGCTTAAGTGGAACTGGGCAGGGCACTTAGCCAGAACACAAGATGGACGGTGGACAAGACGTATTATGGAATGGAGGCCCAGAAATTATAAAAGAAGCCGAGGACGACCACCGACTAGATGGACCGATGACATTAAACGTGTAGCGGGAAACTGGCTACAAGCGGCCCAGTGTAGAGAACACTGGAAAGAATTGAGGGAGGCCTATGTCCAGCAGTGGACGCGATTGGCTGATTGATGATGATACAAAAAATATTTACTGGGTAGATAAGGTTTTCTTAGTGGCGCAATGGTAAGAGCTTCAACTTCTTCCTCTTCTTCTTCTTTGGCTTTTCCCATTATGAGTTCGCCGTTTTCGTCCTCCACAGCACTCTATTCTCCCAGTCACCTTCTCTGAGGTTGAGGTTTTACATCTTGTAGCAGGTCTTCCTCTCCGTCTTCTTCCCGGCGGATCTCAGTTTAATATTCTTTTCGGCCACCTAAGCTCTGGCATTATTTGTACATGCCCATACCACTGTAGGGCTCTGTTTTCCAACTTTTTTTGTAATTGAGCATTCTAGTTCCATTGTGTTCCATATTTCCTCCGTTCTTATTATATCCGCTCTGGTGATTTGTGATTCAACTTCTGAAAAGTAAAAACTGAGTGAACACACACACTACACCACTCCCGATGTTTAATAATACCTCGTGACTGCCTTGCGACAAAATAAACTGCATATAAGTTAATTGAACACAAACCTCAAATATTCGTATTTCTTTCCCATTTTTTAATATTTCAAGTTTCCTCCTTTTAGACTTGTTTTTCTTATTTTGTCACTCTATTTTTCTCTTATGTGTCATTATTTGTGTAGTTTGCTTCTTAACACATTTCGAATGTAATTAGATTTCCCTTATTTATATATTCGGAACAAAACAAAATATTATCATAAGCGTTTGTGATAATTATTATCGCATATATAGATAAAAACTTGAAATACTTAACATTGACCTGGATTGGCATTTTTTAATTATATTAGAATAGTATTTAAAAATTTATTCTTTAAAACAAAAAGAAAGTTTTTATTTATTTACTGTACATACCTTGTTATGTACGACATATAATTTTTGTCCTTTGAGCTCCTAACTGTAGTAACATTTTTTAAAAGCCAACTGGGAAAACCTCCAAATTCCCATTCTGCGCAAATATACGGACCAGGTCTAACCAACACTAAAAGATCCTCCTGTTTGGCAATTCTCAGAAATTCGTCTATGTGTAAAAAGTTGTGCATATCAGTTCCTCCGTGACCAAAATCGAAGACACCTAGAAAGATAAGATAGTTTGTCCTTTTTAGATTATTATATTTGACTATAAGCTAAAAAAGAGCCCACAGGAGAGTTAGGAACACAGAAAAAAAAATAAATTATGAAACAAACAAAAGGTTTAGAAATTTAAAATTTAGAAATATTTTCAAAATTTAAGAAATCTCATTACGGTATCTTAAATTATTTACAAAAAATCGTATTTAATTGGTTTCGTTCAGGTTTTCAAACATGATATTTATTCAAGTAATATTGATTCAAATTCAAAATATTTATGACGATATATATATATATATAATATATATTATATATAGATATATATATATATATATATTAAATGGCCAACTATATGCCTAGGAGACAAATTCGTTAAACTTCCCGTGCTCCGAATTGGTATCACTAAAGTGTTATGATCATTTCGGCCTATCCCAGCCATCGTCAGACACTTGGGCTGATACAAATTCAAACCGGAAAGTAAAACGAATGTCTCCCAATCTTCACTACCGTGTAGTTAGCTTATAAAGCGCCCTCTATTTTGAAGGCCGTGAACGAAACGATATGAATAATCGTTTTCTGTATCCTTTATGCTATGCGAAATGTGTAAGAATTAAATCTTTTAGCGAAAGCCGCTATCGCTGTATGTATTAAATGGCCAACTATATGGCCTAGGAGACAAATTCGTTAAACTTCCCGTGCTCGAATTGGTATCACTAAAGTGTTATGATCATTTCGGCCTATCCCAGCCATCGTCAGACACTTGGGCTGATACAAATTCAAACACGGAAGTAAAACGAATGTCTCCCAATCTTCACTACCGTGTAGTTAGCTTATAAAGGCGCCCTCTATTTTGAGGCCGTGAACGAAACGATATGAATAATCGTTTTCTGTATCCTTTATGCTATGCGAAATGTGTAAGAATTAAATCTTTTAGCGAAAGCCGCTATCGCTGTATGTATTAAATGGCCAACTATATGGCCTAGGAGACAAATTCGTTAAACTTCCCGTGCTCGAATTGGTATCACTAAAGTGTTATGATCATTTCGCGGCCTATCCCAGCCATCGTCAGACACTTGGGCTGATACAAATTCAAACTCGGAAAGTAAAACGAATGTCTCCCAATCTTCACTACCGTGTAGTTAGCTTATAAAGGCGCCCTCTATTTTGAAGGCCGTGAACGAAACGATATGAATAATCGTTTAATATATATATATATATAATATATATATATATATATATATATATATATTATATATATATATATATAAGGTTCTTGAACTCCTAAGTGGAACATAGAGCTTCAGTGAAAACGCGCCATCGGGTTCTATTTTGCGCTAAAGCCTTCACCTCATTCCAAGACTTTCCTTGTTTTCTTATCTCGTCATGATGGATCTTCTCCAAGTTTGTACTGGGCGACCTTTTTTTCGTTTTCCTTGGGGATTCCACTGATTCCAGTAAGTACGTCAAATTCGTCACTGTTGATCCCATTGTGTGTCACGCTGCATTTCGCTTCAGTGTACAGTAACTTTATAATGGAAATTATTTTATGCGGGATGTTTCATTAACTCTAAAATTTTCCATATCGCATCATGAGATAAGCTGTCAAAAGCACGCTCAAAATCAACAAAAACCATGTATAGGGGTGTGTTCCATTCAACCGATTGTTCCATTATTAGCCTCACAGTATTAATGTGGTCTATGCAGGAGGATTCTGGTCTAAAGCCTACTTGATTAGCTCGAAATTCAACCTTGTTTGTTAATCTTTTAAGTATGATGGTCGTGAAGATTTTATTTATGGCGGTAAGCAAGGTTATTCCTCTCCAATTTTTGCATAGTGTGAGGTTGCCCTTTTTTCGGAAGCTTAATAATGATGCCTTTTTCCAGCCCGCTGGAATGCGGTTTGGTTTCCCACACCTCTCGGATTATGGGGAGCAAAAGTTCAGCAGTTAGATGCGGATCAGTTTTAAGTATTTCGGCAGCAATGTTATCGATTCCCGGAGACCTGTTATTTTTCAGAGATTTGATAGCTGTTATTATCTCTGTTTTGGAAGGGGCGTCGCAAGATATACGCAAGTCTATATTCTGTGGATTTTCGACAATTTCATCTGCGTTATCCCTGGCGTGCCTAGCATCTCCTGAAAATGCTCTTTCCATCTCTCTATTTGGTCATTTGTTGTAGTAAGTAATTCTCCTGTCTTGGATCTTACGACGTTTGAACAGTTGGGCCCACTTTTTGTTAGACGTCTAGTAATTTGGTATAGCTCTTTATTTCTAATTGTGTTGTGCAGCTAATTCGGCTTGTTTTGCCAGTTCTTCAGCCCATCTTCTTTTGTGTCTCTTCTTGCATTTCTTTTAACTGCTTTATTTATTGTTTCATATTCTTGTTGTCGGTTCGCTTTCTTTCTACAGTTCTTGCTTGCAAAATATCTTTTTTTGCTGTTTTCTTTCTTCGATAAGATTCCAAGTTTCATCTGATATCCATTCTTTTCTATGTTTCTCTTTTTTACCCAGTTTATCTTCAGCTATTTCTGTCAAAACATTTGCCAGATCTTCCCAGCTATTTACTTCACGTTCTCTTCTTTTGAGTTGAAGTTCCTCCCTAAACATGTGTCTTCTGTAGCCGGTTTTAATTTGTCTAGATTGTATGTTGGTCGTTTGGTGTTTCGTGTGATTTTGTTTTTTGCCATTTTGATTTTAATGGTACTGATTACAAGATGATGGTCACTTGCGATGTCTGCTCCTCTTTTGTTACGTACATCAAGAAGAGATGATCTCCATCTTTTTGATATGGCGATGTGGTCTATTTGATTTTCTCTTATATGACCTGGTGCAGCCCATGTAACCTTGTGAATATTTTTATGTGGGAAGATGGTTCCACCAATAACTAAGCTATGATTGGAGCAAAAATTTGTGAAGCGCTCTCCGTTTTCATTCATCACTCCAGGCCATGTTTGCCCATTACGGTTTTTAAGTTAATATTGTCTTCTCCAACTTTAGCGTTCATATCGCCCATCACTATTAGTATATCGCCTTGGTTTACTTGTTGGTCGTTTGTTCTAGTTGTTCGTAGAAATATGTCTTTATCTTCGTGGAGAGATGTGTTCGTGGGAGCATATGACGATAGTTCTGAGAAAAATCCATTTAAAAGATCCATGTCATTCATAACAATTTTGATATTGTGGTTTGATCTCAATTTGTGCTTGCTACAGAAGAGTTTTTTGGTACATTGTACCAGAAGACAAGCAGATATGCTAAATAAAGCATAACATAGCTTTATTTACAATAACGAATTGTTTTCTGTGATCCCTCTCTGAAACAAAACAAAAAGAAGAAATATCTGTGATCTCATCAGGTAACGCGGTACATCAAGTCAAATTAGGTTGTAGTACCGCGTGACCATCATGGAGATTACAGGAAAAATTAGGAATAACTCATAAACAAAAGCAGATATATTTATAAAACAAAAATAATCTTGATCTCTGAAAGCAAGTAGATAATATTTTAAATAAAAAAAATGGAACATACGCAGAAAAAATATTGTCGACACCTATACCCATCTTGTATCTAGTAACAAAATCGTAAAATGAGGTCTGGCATCCAATGTGTTAAGGAAGCCGTCATGCCAGTCTCTTCCAGCAGTTTCTTTTTCTTTGGAAAATGGACGATGTGAATTTTCTTCTTCAGCGTATTTATAGACACATTTTTTTATTTCTGTGGAAGTTGTCTCATAAAAATGTTTTGATAACTTTATAACCTGCTTTGTCAAAACTTCTTTAGTAAATACAGAACTACGACCTAAAGAAGCAGCTGTTGTATCATTTCGCTTTAGTCGTAGTTGAAATATAGATTTGGGAATTGCAAAACTTCTGGCAACTTCACGGACGCTTCTGCCATTATTTACTGCATTTATTGCTATTATCTATTAAATAGGACTGGTCGAAATAATTAGAATATTAAATAAAGCCTGTTATATAGATAATAGCTAAATCAAGTTTTTTAAAAAGTCTTACCAATATTGCTGTTACATACAGCTGCGGTATTTATAGGCTTTTATTTGCGATATTTACTCGCGGTTGTTTTTCGTACGGGAGGAGCTGACTTTAGCGGTTTTTACACACGTGTTTCGCGGTACTTACACTAAAAATTAAAGATAAAGACCATTTGCGTCTGTTGTCTATACGATTCAAAAGTCAAGAAGATTCGCGGTATTTAGGTTTTTTAAAGACATACGCAAGCGAATATTAAGACGTCTTTTCGATACGGTCAGTCGGAGAGGTGAAAAGCGTCTCAGTCAACAGTCAAGAGAGAGATTCGCGATATTTTTCGACCACTATGAGAGAAAAAGCTATGAAATCATCCGGTCGTGATGGACAGCTAGATGAGAGAGAGTGTGCTGCTAGTGGCAGTCAACAGTCGAGAGTGAGATCACAAAGGTACTTTAAGTCGGTATGAACGTGAAGATTAGAGATAACGATTTTATGTTTGCTATTTTAAAACTATCTATACTTATGAACTAAAGGTTGGGGTTAAAGTGGGAGTAGTAATTACTGCTACGGATTGTATTAAAGTAATGACAACCAGGGCGAGATCTGCGGAAATCCAAACCGAGCTAGTAGCAGCAGCAAATTGTATGGGGTTACATATAAATCAAAATAAAACCAAATTCATGGCGACTAACTTAAACACAAGAGCTGGAAATGTTAACGCAGATTAAGTCATCAATAACCAAAATTTCTAAGCAGTCAAAGAGTTCATATATCTAGGGACATCGGTTAACTCGAATAATAATTGCAAACAGGTGTTATCATGGTCGATCAAAGTACTTTGCTAACAAACGTCTGTCTTAAAAAACTCAGATCGGCCTGTGAGAACTGAATATAGAGGCGTATATATAACTTTGAACTGCATAATATCTACAAGCGTACGTTTGATGGTAAAGATATTACCACTATAATTAAGCGAAACCGGTTGCAGTGGGCAGGACATGTAGCCCGGGCCCCTGAATCGAACATGATAAAAAAGATTCTAACAGCGCAACCCGTGGGAATGAGAAGAGGGGGTAGACCAAAGCTGAGGTGTATGGACAAGGTAACACAAGAGGTCGAAAAGATCGGAGTCGGCAACTGGAAAATGCAAGCGAGGAACAGAACAGAACGGCGTAGAAAGCTTGAGAAGGTCGAGGCCCTTTAAGGGCTGTAGCACCAAGATGATGATGAATAATTTTTAATATTGAGGTTGAGAATTATAGGAATTAATAAAGTCAAAAAATATGGTTTTTCGCATGTGAAAAATTGAACAATGATGATGTAAAACTGGTAGTAGTAATTTAATTTTTGAATAGCTATGCCATTCAGTTAGAGTTTTAACCGAGTATTGCAATATTGGATTACAAACGTTTTCGTATTTTTGATATAATTACTCTAAATTCACAGTAATATTAAAACTATAAAATTATTAATATATTTACCTGGTTGAGGTTCGTGTAGATTCCACGGGACGTAAGTTTCCACGGTATTCAAGCCTGCTGCCCTCATTTTTCTCAGCCTGTCTCGCCAGTACTCCCTCGGCACTCGGAAATAGTGGAAAGCCCCACTGTACAGAGTAATATTTTTCTGGTTGAGCGTAAAATAGGGCTGGTTATCCGATAAACCCTGCGTAATGCCATTTCCACTGTATATTCGTACAAAGTTGGCAAACTATCCGCTATTAAAGCCATTATTCCGCTGCTACTTTTCTCACAAAACTACTGCCGAGATTATATGGTCGGTATTTATTATTTATACAGCTGACACGGATATGTTACATCGAAACTGATTAAAAATATAAACACAATTATATTATCTTGAATGTTTATCGTACAGTAACCACTTCAGATGAATTTAATTTATGTTTTGGTATCTTTATCTTAAAATAGTTGGTTTTTACTGAGTGTCTTAGGATAATACATATATTATAATAAAAAAAAACACAAATGTAAATCAAACTGTAATTTTTTTTTATTGGGAGGTACATTAAAGGAATTAAATTCGATCCTAAATTAAATTCACGAATTGATTATAATTAACCAAGTACTAGAAAATTATGTCTGACCATTGGTTATTAAATGCTAGTAATATAGTCATCTTTTTAAATTAACGCAAGATGAGACGCAAATTTCACGCCCATCGACAAGAAAAAAGAAAATAAACCAAAGTGTTGTTTTACCCCCTAAGCTAAACCCATTTTTTCGCAACTTCCTTAGACTTAAAAAAATAGATTTTCTTTATACTGTATATTAATCAATGATTTATTAAGTACTCATACCAAATTATACAGGGTGTTTCATTAATAATTGAAATTATTTCAACTGTTCATTCCTGGGCTCAAAATATAAGGTTTACCCCAAATCACTTAAACAAAATGTGGCTCCTTAATGAATGTTACAGGGAGTTTTATTTAAAAATTTAAAAACTATAGTACCCAGTACTTTAAAACTATTTGACATATGTTTGCCATACTTGTCAGAAAGTATAAATACTATACACCCTACTAAATTATGTCAACTAAACGTTTTTGTCTACTAACAGAGGCGTACGATGGGGGAAAGTGAATGATTGACACCTTCCAAATTGTACGCCACTAGCGGAATTGTTATTTTAGCATAATTTTTCAATTCTCCATTACTTTCGATGTAAATAATATATTCTTCATTTGTAATGATAAAGTCAGTATTTTTCGAGATATTTGAAGTTAAATAAAGCGATGCGGCACAGTCATTTTGATTAATTATGAATTACCAGTAAATTTGAATCGTAACTCTCGTTTCTACAGATTACACTTTTTGACGATTTTGGAGATTAGCCACAGAATCAAAGAATATGTGTGGTCCATGTAGAATAGAGCTCCGCCTCATTGTCCTTTAATAGTACCGAACTATCTAGATCAGCAATATCCTCCTCGTTGGATTGGAGAGGTAGTTAAATTCCATGGCCGCCTAAAAAACCTGATGTAATACGTTAGATTTTAATGAATCGTTTAATGAAAGAATTCATAAGCTTCTTGAGGTAAATGGGCTTTATGTTGCACAGGTTTGTTTCTTCAAAATTTCAACAAATAACATTTTGATGAATGGGTTGCTGGTGTGAGATAAGTCTTCTTTTCACAATGCTTAATTGGTTTTATTAAAGTTTAAAAAAGAGAATTAGCTATCGGTTTGCTGGTAGCCCATTCAATGCTCTATGAGATGCTGTAAAAGTTTGTAAACAGCGAAACCAGTAGCCCATTTCTTTTTTTAACTTTAATAAATCCTGCCGTGGATGAGACAAGAAATATTAGAGCTAACGGAAGAACGAAGAAAACAAAGAAATAGGAATGAGGAAAGGTACAAACAATATCATTAAGAAAAGATTAAAGAAGCAAAAGAGTCACGGCTATAAGATCACTGCATAGAAATAGAATCGCTAGAACAAAAGCAGGGCACTTTTAACCTATATAAAATGATCAAAAATTAACTAGAGGAAACGAACCACGACATCATAACTTAATACTAGATAAGCACAATAATCTGCTCTACGAAAATGAGAGAATGCTTGAGAGATAGACGAACTACATGGAAGAATTTTTCAACGAAGAGCAAGAGACAGAAGTTAGTGTTTCTGGATGTTCAGAACTAGAAATAACGCTCAGTGAAGTAACATGTGCAATAAAAAAACTAAAAATGAACAAAGCACCTGGACCTGATTACATACAAGCTGAAATATTGAAACTATTTGAAAACAACTAACTCAAACTCCCAACGAGTCTACTGAACAAAATCTATGAATCTGTAGTTATTTGTACAGATTGGCTAGTTTCTACCTTCATCCCTAATCCCAAAAATTCAAATGCCACCAAATGCTCTGATTACAGAATTATAAGCTTAATGAGCCATGAACTCAAAATCCTTTCTGTTATTCACTCTCGCATATATAGAAAACTTGAAGAAAACATTAGCAGTGTTCAATTTGGGTTTAGAAGCGGACTGGGAACGCGAGAGGCCTTATGTGCAACATCAAAAATTATTTCAGATATTGAAAGAATCTAGTATTGATGACAAAGATTTACACCTAATTAAAGAATCTAAAAATTGCGCTAAAATAGCCCTTGTCGTACGTCTCTGAACGTTTATTTAACATAATTTGGTATGGTGTTCAATGAAACTATTGGTAGTAGAAGAAAAACTAGAGGGACGAAGACCAAGAGGAAGATCTCCAACACGATGCGCAGACCAAATGAAGACTCTTGTGGGAAAATCCCTACGTGAAGCCGTCCATATGGCACAGGATCTTAGCAATGGAGGAGGGAGGAGTAAGGTGTACAGTAGCTTCATTTCCTGCCCGAATACGACAAGGATATGTCAAATAGTTTTTAAATTTTTGAAGAAAACATCCTGTAATTTAGTGAGGAGCCAGTTTATTGAGGATATTTATGTTAAATCCTAATATTTTGTGCTTAGGAATCTATACTATAAAATATTTACAATTAATTATAAAACACACTGTATAAAATACTAGTTTATATACTTATGATTTACAAAAACTTCTATCCACCAATTATGAATTAGGTTTGATATACTTCGTGACACACTAAACTGCCCGTGACTAGATGGTATTATTTTAAGAATAACTCAATATTTGATGGCCTGTCTGTGAACTGGTTAGTGTTACCATTTAACCCTTAACTAACCGTAAAATTGACTTACCAAAATTTATGGTTGTATTCATAAGTTATTCACTGTATAATGAACTGTTAAATTAATTTAATTGATAACATTTTACACCGATGTATTTAGCAATGTGCCATTGTTAACATTTTTAATTAACTTTAATTATATTTTTATTCAATATCTATTAATAGTCCCCATAAACACAACCTATATACCAGGACCGAACTTTTAGAAAAGCGTAAACAAAAAAAAATAGTAATAGGTTGAAACTTGAGGTCTTTATTTTGGATGTGTAGAATATGAAATTTGTCATTAAAAATATAAAAATGGTCCAAAAGGTGAAGTGCGTATGTAGAATATGTTTTTCTATTATTTAAAGCCCTTTTATGTTCTGCTATACGTTTGTTAAAAGTCATACCAGTTTAACCGATGTAAGTATTTGGGCAGTCGCCAAATTTAAGTTTGTATATACCACTGTGAGCTTTTTCTTTTGGTTCTTGTTGTTTTTAATATATTTGCCTAAGTTGTTGTTTGTTCTAGAAGCTTATGTTATTTCTTTCTTTTTTATGTGTTTGGCTATTTTTATTGATTTTTTGCCTGTATAAATATGTAATAGAGCAAAAGGTACTTAGATTTTTTCTCTATTGGTGAAAATAGCAATTGTAGTATATCCTGTAATACTGTTCTAAACCTTGAAATTCTAAATGTTCGCTCTGATGAACCCAAAGGTAGAAATATGCATATCAGCAAATGGTGGTATGCTGTAATGAAATCAAACCTAAACCATCTATTTTATTTTTATTATTTTGCTCTAGTATAGAGTCTTTGCAAATCGCTTTCACAAAGGAATTTCTGTCTATACGAATTGGCATGACGTGGATACGGATTTATATTCTGAAGAAGGAATTCTTTTCATCGATAAGGAGCCAACATTTTCGGTGTATTCGTATTTTTAGTATATGGTACAGTCTTTCAACGAAAAACTATAAACTATATCTATAAATGCATTTAAAACCCAACTAGACTGCTTTTTGGTTGTTTGTAAACTGAACAGCATTATATACAATCTGCTATTCTGCAGTTTATTTGCATAACTAATTATTTTGTAATTTACTATTTCATTTTAATTTTTAATGGACTTAATAAGCCCAACCCTTATCACTATGTAATAATAATGATTGTAATATCCTCGTTACCGTCTGTCCTCATGTGATTACTGATTTTGCAGGTGTTCCTTCCAACCATGAATTAATTTTTATCTGGACTTTTAAACTTTTGTTCTAATTCATCACTTAAGTGTACACCTACATTGGAACCGTATTTCTCCCGATCCGGTATAGGGCGACGTCGGCCGATGTCGGATTGAAAACAAACTCAAGGTATTAAATCATAGTGCCTATACTGCTTCCATGACGAAGCAGTAAAGGCACTATGATTTAATACTTGAGTTTGTTTTCAATCTGACGTCGCCGGATATCGGATCGGGAGAAATACGGTTCCAATGTAGGTGTACACTAAGGCAATCAGTTTGATTGCCACAATTCGTGTTTATATTTATAGTCTTTTTAAAACACAATTTAGTGACACTTATTTTGAGTCTTGTTTATTTTTTAACACGATTTACTGTGTAATATGTGAGTTATCGCTCGAACAAGTTTATGTTTGAGTAGCAGAACTTCTGATGTTCTGTCTGATCACTTATACCCTTAAATGTACGATACAAGTCGTTTATTTAACGTTAAGTATTCTAGATGAAATGCTATTTTTATCTAAATTATGAACTATGGTCTTTTTCTCTGGTAACAGTAAATATTTTCATACTGCAATTTTCCGTCCAGATGTGACTTCTATTCTAAAGTACAACTATAAGATTAAATCATTACTGGTCAATAAAGAATGCAAAAACAAATTAGGAAAATTATGACAAACTCATTACTGGTCAATTACGTTGTGTCAATATCAAAACTTTTAATGACATATTTTGGTATAAAATGAGCCCCAAAATGAAGATTGATTTGGTTGCAAACAAAATGTTGCTAACAGAATTTTACAAAACTGTCGTTTC